TTAGATTTAATCTATTATTTTATTAAAGAAAATCTTGTTTAATTCATAACTTTTTTATTATACCTCCGATTAGCGTGTTTTTCGTGTCGGTGTGTTCGTAGCAACGTGTAGAACATCTTTAAAACATTTTTACTTACTGTTTATGTTGTTTGGTGTACTGTTCTAATTTAGTTCTATTGTTTGCTTCGTGTATGATTGCATGGATGCTTGTGTGGTGCTTTATGATCATGTCCCGTCGGTGAGCTTTACGTGTTGATTAAGAAGGAGTTCCTTTGAAGTTTTGGACTTGAAGAAGGCAATTATAGCATGGGATCTTCCTTGTTGTCATATACATCTTTAATCATTTAATTCATGCTGCATGTGTCTACCTTTAATTATTACTAAGGATTTCCTAGTACTTTGTTACCTCGTACCTTGTTACCTATGGGGTATTGCATTGGGTAGTATGATGCTAGTACTCAACTAAGCCATGATCTTATAACTTTGACTAATGATATATGTAATAAACACTAAAAGATGTTTTTAGCAATATGGAACAAGGGGGTTAGAGCATTGGGCTATTATTATAGTTCTCTAGATTTCTCTCCCTAAGGACTTATTTCTAAGCGAATATCTGAGACTTACAGTACAGCTGTGAGAGCTACATGGCCCCAATTTTAGCTCAGTATGATGACATTTTCTAGCTTTTTAGTGGTTACCTTTATTGACGTAAGAATGGCTTACCGAATTGGGTATAGTGCGACCTCTGTCCCCTTGTGTATAGGCTGTGCGTCATTGTACCACCAAAAGGGGGGCTCTACATCTGTTTGCCGAGTGAATCTAATGGCCCTAACTTGTTAGACGAACCTTTGAAAGGCTTCGTAGTGAACCCTGCCGACCTTTCTTGAAAGTGGGTCAAGAGATTAGCTATCTCGGGCGAAAGGGTAAATCATGACTAACAGTGAAAGTGTACAACCTCTGTAGAGTATAAAACTAGTATATCAGCCATGCTCATGGTCACGAGCGGCCTTGGAACCCTTACGTAATATATGATGAACACTGATGATACTGAAGATGAAGATGATCATTAATGATTACTGTTTATGCTATTTATTATTCATGTTTACCTGATCATGTGTTTACATGGACTTGTGATAAACTTATTGCTACTCAATTGCTAAAATCATGGCTCATTAAAAGCTAATCGCAGTTGAACTAGTGTCAGCCTTTTGAGCCTCATGAACCTCATATTATATTTGTTGAGTACGACATGTACTTACGCTTGTTTTATTTTTCAATTATTTGGATAAAAATCCCGGATGGGTACCAGATTGCTAGAGTTTAGATGAGTTAGGCTTGTGATCAACCAGTCAGTTGTCCCTGTGGAGTTGGAGTCTTCACCCAAAGATCGGAGTTGTCTTTCCGCTGTTTGTTGTCTAAGATTATATCATTTTTAGTAAGTATGTTATATATTGAGCATTGTCTTTCGATATTACCCTTATTTATAGCTATATGCGAGATTTGACTTCCTAGGCTCACATATGGTGTGTATCTGGTTTTGTTCTTAAAACCGAGTGCAACAAAGTATTACTAAAGTAGTGCTGAAAAACGGGCTCAATTGTGACTTCTCCGTTGATCAGTCAATATTAACTTTAATAAGTAAGTTAAATATGCAATAATAATAATATTTATAATGATTTACAAGTATCATCATTAATTGTTGAGTATATTCTTATAGTAACTTATTTAGAGATGTAAATGTTGATATTGTTTTATACATAGTTTGACTTTAATTCAAATATATGATTATAGTTTTTTTTCTAGGATGGGTAGTAGCATTCAATCTAGCCAGTCCACTGTCCTCAGTCGCAACTCACAAGTAGTACTCTCAGCGACGAGTCATTCACACTTAGTAGTATTAGTCTTTAGGATTAAGTGCATTTTTGCCTCTTAATTATTGTGTCGGTCTAATTTTAACCTTCAACTATAAAATCATCTAGTACCGGTACCTTAACTATCAAAACTGTTCACTTTTAGCACCTGGCGCAGGGAGCAAGGCTGTTTTGACCAACGTTGAGCGGTTTTGACACGCAACCTCCATCTCAATGTGGGGCCCACGTCTCATCGACTCGATCCCTCCCTCTCCATCCTCACGGCCACGGCCTCGCCGGCAACCGGCCATGCCTATGTGAAGCCGAAGACGTCGTTTGTAACATGACCGACACGTTCAGCGACAAGGTCGTGCACCCGGAGCTAAAGTTAGGCTGTCAGTCGACTGGATGGGCTCTGCATCAAGCCGACAGCAGTGTGCCTGGCTGCTCACCGCCGATGCCACCGCCTTAGCACCACTTTGCGTACGCCCGGCACGCAGCTGCTTCGCGATGGAAAAGCTAAGCAGGTGCTGGCGCGTCTAGACGCTTCACAAGCATCGCCTTAAGCCCCCGTCGGTCGCCAGCGTCTTTTCCCTTCCTCTGCTCCGCCGCCCGTGAGAACGACGCGCCGGAGCAATTCATCACCATCGCCGCACCACCGCCAAATTGCTCGCGCCAATAGCTCCGCCCCATCCTCACACTTCTCCTCAACCTATTCGCATCACCTCTAGCCGCCGAAGTACGCCTAACGCGCCAATACCACCGCGGTTGCGCCGTCATGGCCGCCGCGAGCCTCTCTCTCTACTGTCTTGTGCTTTAGCTTTGCCTTGAGGCCGTGATGCTCATCGGCTCGTCTATTTCCTTGTTCCATCACATGACGCGCCGGAACACGAGCTCGTCGCCGGTTCACGCCACCGCGCTCGTCATCACCGCCGCCCTGCGCATCTGCGCCACCTCTGCTTCAACCGTGTAGCCGAGCAAGCCCGTGGTGAGCGCGCGGACGGTGCCGTGGAGGCGCGCGAGCGCCTGGTGGCACGGCTCGCTCACGGACCGCGCGTGTGCTACCGCTGTCGGCGTCGCGGCTGCCTTCCTCGTCGACGTCCAGGAGCGCGAGGCCGTGGCGTTGAGGATGGAGAGGGATGGATTGAGTCGATGACGCGTGGGCCCCACATGTCACTGAGATAGAGGTTGCGTGTCAAAACCGCTTAATGTCGGTTAAAACAGCCTTGCCCCCGCCCAGGTGCTAAAAGTGAACGGTTTTGACAGTTGGGGTACCGGTACTAGACGGTTTTATAGTTGAGGGTGAAAATTAAATTGACACAATAGTTGTGGGGCCAAAAGTGGACTTAATCCTATTTTTTAACGTTGCAACGAACGAGTACATCCGCGTCTTATACGAATCATACTACACTCGGAGCTCACATATTCTCTTGAACTTATCAGCCCGGCTTATCAGTCAGGTACGGTATTTTTCTGTCACAAGAAAACAACATCAGCCGGCTTATCGACCGCAAAAACCATTAGCTGAACAGCTTAGACCGGATCCACGTGTCCGCGTCCAATACAAAGTCTTTAGAGCTCATCTGTCTGTGTCCGATTGGTGATGTTCAATTTAAAAAATTGTGACCCCAGTGCAACGCACGGGTATATATTTAGTAAAAAAAATATATTAGTATTTATAATACTATTAGGTATACTATGGAAATATTTATTCCACCATAATATTTATAAGTATTTAGAGTTTAGTATTATAATATCAATTGAGATACTCTTTTATATAAAGTATGACATTAAAATTATATTTTTTTAGGACAGCAGGAGTATATACCAACTGTCAGACATGCCGATCACTTCCTCTCCTGCATTGGCCAAGTGCTCATCGCAATGGACGAGCTCGCCCTCAAGGGGAGCAATCTGGAGCCCAGTTCACTCCACGGTCCAGGCACGAACTTCTCCGGAACGGTGATTTTTGGTGATCCATCAGTGGAGTGACTCGGCGTCACTGCAGGAGTGCGGTGGATCGAGCAGCTTCTATTCGCAACCTTAAGTGGTGGGTTGGATGTATAGACGGTGCGATGATAGAGCTGTAGTAAACGCAAACGGGAAGAAGGCGTCGTAATTACTGACGATCCATCTGAGGCGTCGTGGGCACGCGAGACTAAGCCCATATAGGAAGGACCACCCCCAAGCGACGGAAACTATTAAAAAAAAATAGCTTAAACGATGGAGACTCTCGAGTCATGGACTAAAGTTTAGTCTATATCATATCAAATATTTGATATCAATTAAGATGACTAAATATAATATAATTATAAAACTAATTGCATAAACGGTGACTAAATCGTGAGATGAATTTATTAAACATAATTAATCCATAACTAGCATATGCTTATCGTAGCCTCACATCCGCTAATCATGGACTAATTAGGTTTAATAGATCTGTCTCGTGAATTAGTCTTCATTTATATAATTAGTTTTGTAACTAATTTATATTTAATACTCCTAATTAGTATCAAACATTCGACGTGGCAGAACTAAACTTTAGTCACGTGGAACCAAACTGTGGTTAGGTGCAGCATTGGTGGCCTAGTGTGGGACTCGGATCTCTAGATCAGTCAACAGTTTTTTTTTTTTGACAGTAGTGTAGATCAGTCAACAGTTGCTCGTGAAGCATTTAATTCACTCGATATATATCCGATTAATTAAAGAAACCAATCGAAAGACATTGTTAAGTCAATGGTACGCCACCGACCAACGCAGAGTTGGGCAAAAAAAAACCACTGGCTTCGTTTTTCGGGAAAAAAACAAATATCGCACCAATCAGTGACGGATGCACGATGCGGGATAAGGGGGGCTAAAACAATGGAGATGTTGATTTGCATGAAAATTTAATAGTAAAATTAAGTTTTTGCTATAGTGATTAGGCTTGAAATCAAGACATTAGGGGGGCGGAGCCCCCCAGCCCCCTTTAGATCCGCCACTGGCACCAATAGCACTGTTCCCGTTAGGATACACAACCCAATCCGATCCCTCACTGTCACTGCGCGTTTTTGCTCACCGCCACACTTCGACTACGACGACGACGACTGGCAGCTGCGGCAGGTAGCAGCGCTGAGCTGCTTCGATCGAGGAGACGCGCCTGGGAAGAGCATGAAGAGCTGGGCGCCGATCAACCTCAACGTCGGCCTCGTCGTCGGCGTCCTCTTCGTGCTGCTTACCTATCTTGTCCTCTCGCAGCAAGCTGCGAGCAGTGGCCTCAACGGTACTGAATCCTTTCACACTGCACATTGGCCATCTCAAAGGGCAGATCATGAGATGAGGACAACCGTTAAGTTCTTGCTTGTTGCTTGTTGATATGCAGTTGCCGCTACGGTAGCGCAATGGATCATGGACAAACATCTGACGACTAACGGTCCTGGTGAAACATGTAAGCACCACCACAAAGTGTCCAGTGTGGCCATTCTCCTATCTGTACTTCATAAACTGACGAACAGTTCTTGTTTGTTGCTTAATTTACAGTCGTCGCTTCAGATGTGCAGCAGACCGCGGAAAAACAGGCGGCTCAAGATTCAGGTGGATCAGGTGAGCATCCGTATTGTTTCCATCAAATTTGCATCCTTTGTTCAGACACCCTATTCAGGGGAAACGTTGGGGTTTTACGCGTAGCAGAGATGGAAATGGATACTAGCCTACTACTTTCTTCATTCCAAATTATAAAATATTTTAAATTTCTCTAACTATGCACATAATTTGATATGCACTATATCCAAATACATAATAAAAAGTAATATATATAGAAAAGTCAAATCTTCTTATAATTTTAAACGGATGAAGTAGGTAATACCCACCGGATTCGACCTTATTACGTACGTATTTAATTTAACAGATCTAAATGACAAATCATGGTTGGAAAATGAATTAGAAACTGGATGTCAGAATAGCTAGATCTAGGTTCGAATCGTGATTTTGAGTAATGGATTAGCATCTACTTAGATCTAAGTTACCAAATAGTAGTGATTCTGGTCAAATATTACAAGATGCTCGGGGAAAACAAAAATGGGATGTTCGGCACAGCTGTTTCAGCTGTTGCATGCTGCAGCTGTGCCCTGTTATTCTCTCAGCCAAACACTGTACTAGCAGCGTCAGATACTAACGAGGCCTATCTTAAGAAATGAGCATGATGCCATGATGGGATCAAAGTCAACATGCGGCAAATACTTGAACCATGGAATTTAGCTTTTTTTTTCTTGATCATGGCAAAATAACATGCATTTGGTGCCTCTTAAATTAACATTTGAGATTAATTTGTTTACAATTCACAATAACTAACATTAAAGTAATTGAAAGTCGGCCCACATATGTTAGCTAATAAGCTTTATCTTAGCTTACCATCTTATTATTACTGATTCAAGACTCCTTTATAAAAACATCCATATTAATCTTTACCAAGTTATTTTTGTCAAGGGAAAAATAAATTCTAGAAGCTTTCATAAAATCTAGACTCAATTGTTGGCAACAATATAGTGTGCTTTCTATACCCATCTTTTTCATTATGAAAAATAACTTCTAAATATGATGTGAGTACTGAGTTAGTCACATGGGTTGCTTTTTGTTTCATCTACTTTAGTCATCCCCCTTGAATATCTGAGCTTATGTCCCATTACCATAATGTTTGCTTTTAATTGAGCGGACACTTTTTTTTTTTATAATATGAATAGATTGATCTTGATCCTATATACATCATGTTCTATGACTTTTGTAGATACTTTTATTTTTCACACACATCTTGTATTAAAGCAATGTTTCTATATTTTCTCTCTCTTTTTCCTATTGTATTTTGTATCAAAATATTATTTGAATTGCAACTTTAAACATTTACATGCATGTAAAGTGCAATACATTTAGTTGCATTTATCCTTAACAATGGCACTGGGTGATCAAGACTTGAGTATAAAGCTATTTTGTGTAGTAGTAGCGGTGGATAATTCATCAACATGTATATATTGAGCCATATTGTTTTATTGTTATTCATTTTGTATTTTCTGCTGAGAGCAAATGGGGAAAGTTTCTTTGTAATTCAAGTACTAATGTAACAGCTAGATCTTTTCCGACATGCATATCACATATACATGCATGTGGGAGCAATGTGCATATCATTTTTCATATATGTCTATCTACCATGGAGATATTTTCTTAATTGGTGAGACATGACATAACACAATAACAATACATGTTAAATTATAATCTCTTTGTTTCAAATTGTAAGTCATTTTAGCTTTGCCCTAGTCAAGTTTCTCCAGCTTTGGCCAATTTATAGAAAAATATATTAACATTTACAATATCAAATAAGTGTTCTATCAAAATATATTTTATGATGTATTAGTTAAATGAACCTTGTTTGATGTTGTATGTGTTTACGTATTTTTCTATAAACTTAGTCAAACTTGTAGAAGTTTGACTTAGTATAAAGTTACAACGACTTAAGATTTGGAATGGATGGGTACAAGATTACAAACAAATAATGAATATTATGCCATTGTTGACCACACACGTGTAATAAATATAAAACTACTAGAAAAATAATTTTGTGCCAATACTTTTATTTTCTAGTGAAGTGTAGTAGGAAAAGTTACTTAATATGAACATTACTCATCTCTAAATACCGCTCCCTCCATTCCAAATTGTAAAGTCGTTTTGGCTTTTCTAGATACACAGTAAAAGCTATGTATTTAGAAAAGCTAGAATGACTTGCAATTTGGAACAAAAGGAGTATTTTTGGTAGAACAAAGCACAAATGTAGATTGTCACACATGCACACATGCTTACACATCCTTTGAATGTATGCACATATATCATATCTCTATAAGCACCTACATGAGATTAAAAGTTTCACTATAAAGAGGCAAATAAGTTGCTTAGTTTCAACCTCTAAATCATAAATTAGTGGGATTTAAGAAACAGAATATTTCTAAAAACATTAATTGGTGACAGGTCCAGCGTCCACAGGTTAAAATATTTTTTAGACATATCTTTGTATTTTCGTGATCAACACATGCACATCTCTATGGTAAGGTAGTACTTAAGCTCAAGTTCAAAATAACAATGTCAACACTTATGCTAATTATTAAGCCAGCAGGTGAATGTTTCCGCCTTCTCGTCGTGTGCAGCTGCAGCAGAGAAGGGCAAGGTGGTGTACAACACCAAGGGATCCTACTCCGAAACCTGCGAAGTCGATGGCGACGTCCGCATCAACAGCACCGCCCTGTCGGTGACCCTCGTGCCGGCGAGCTGGTCGGAGCGCCGCGAGTGGAGGATCTGGCCATACTCTCGCAAGAACTTGCCCGACATCAAGATGGTCACCGTGACGCAGCTGGAGGACAAGGCTGCCGCCCCGCCGTGCACGGAGACCTACAACATACCGGCGGTCCTGTTCGCGCTCGGCGGTCTGACGGGCAACTTCTGGCACGACTTCGGCGACGTGCTGGTGCCTCTGTTCATCGCTTCGCGGCACTACGACGGCGAGGTCCAGTTCCTGATCAGCAACATGAAGCCGTGGTGGCCGGCAGCGTACAGGACCATCCTGCAGCGGCTGTCCAAGTACGACGCCGTGAACCTCGACGTCGACGACGACGCGCAACACGTGCGGTGCTTCCCACACGTCACCGTGGGGATCCACATGCACAACGGTGGCCTGAGCATCGTCCCGGAATGGGCGCCGGGCGGCGGCCGCCTGTCCATGGCCGACTTCACCAGGTTCATGCGCGAGGTCTACGCGCTCCCGCGCGACGCGCCGGCCAGCCTGGTCCGGGAGCCGGGCAAGAGGCCGCGGCTGCTGCTCGTCCACCGAGGGCACAGCCGCCGGTTCATGAACGAGCAGGAGATACTGCGGGCCGCGGAGGCGGCGGGGTTCGAGGCGGTGGCGGTGGACCTGCGGCGCGACGTGACCGTGGACGCGCAGGCGCGGGTGGTGAACTCGTTCGACGTGCTGCTGGGCGTGCACGGGGCCGGGCTGACGAACGCGGTGTTCCTGCCGCCGGGCGCGGTGCTCGTCCAGGTGGTGCCGTACGGGAAGATGGATACGATCGCGACGCTGGAGTTCGGCCTGCCGGCAAAAGAGATGGGGCTCAAGTACCTCGACTACGTCGTGAGCGCGGAGGAGAGCACGCTGCTGGAGATGCTGGGGCCGGAGCACCCGGCGATCAAGGACCCGGACTCCATCCACCGCAGCGGATGGGACAAGATGACCGAGTTCTACCTCAATAAGCAGGACGTGCGCATCGACGTCGCCCGCTTCGCGCCCGTCCTCGCCCAAGCGTTCGACCACCTACACCAGCAGTAGCGGGGCAGGGAACGCATCCATCTGAGGACTAACAGCCATATATTGGTACGTACAAGTACCACCAACGCCCAAGCGTTCGACCACTTACTTGGACACGTAGGCTCATGCTTGAATCTCGAGTGATCCGTCCTTTTATGTTCTGTTTTGTAAAAAGTTGCAAGACAACCACAGGCCGTATGCATTGCATCGGGATAGCTTTCCGCGTTTTACAATTCATAGTTTTGGAAAAGGTACATTACATACATTTTGGAAAGAAAGGAGTATCATCTACTAAAAAAACAGGGGTGCACAAGTACTAAAACAAGCTTTGGTTTGTTTCACATGTACACATTTTAGCTACTGACTTATAAGTTATAAGGTAACCTCCAACAGTAAGCTAAGAGTCGAGTGCTGACACTTAGATATCATCTCATATTATATGTCATATCTTCTATATTTTTCCATCTAGGCCATGAGCCTTCTAAGCTAGAGACTTAGAGAGAGAGAGAGAGAGGGAGGAGGATCCCTGCTGACAACACAAAAAGAGTGACGATGGTTCTTTGGTACCATCTCTGATTCACTACCATAAAATAACTCTTCACTGCCGGTTCAAATACCCTATCACTGTCAGTTTCTTAAACTGGCAGTAGGAAAGTGGCAGTGATGAGGTTTCCATAAACCAATTTTGGATGAAAAAATAGCAATTTTTTAATATCAGGAGACCCCACTGGGTAGCCACACGCGTGCGCAAGTCACAAGTCACACAATATTCTACGAAATTAATATAAATGAACTTCCACATTTCTTCAATGAACTTCCATAACTTTCAATTTACAACTTCTCTTTCCACCTTTGTTTCAGTACTAATATTAATAGTGCAAGAGATGTCTCTTTTTCTGGATATAGAAGAGAACACACCATTTGCATGCTGCCAGGAATCATGGCAATTTTTATACTTGGGGCTACATACCAAAGGGCCTTTGAGGCAAATAACCTCATGTGGATGTGTTGTGGATTTTCACAGCCTACCATTTTGATCAAAATGGGAGTGCATTGGTGGAGGTATTCGTTATCGAGAGCAATTCTTAGTTGTTTGAATCTTATCCCATAATGGAATTGAGTATTTCGATACCAAGGAACTTCATATGGGTAGATATGCAGTTTGACTCTAAGCACTAAATAATAAAAGTGATAAGTGTCCAACTATTTCCAACAAATGTGTCTTTCTTCCTATACTTTTGATATGCATTCAATCCCCATCTTATACCTTAGGTGATAATGTTTTGCTAGTGATGCTTAGAATAAAGGTGATAACAACCAGTTTGTAATGCAAGCTACACTGTAGCAACAACCTTGACAAGCCACTACTAACTGGAAGCAGAAAATTTGCCCCTAAGGACATATGCCCCCATGTGCATGGCATATGCCCTTAGTGGCAAAAACAACATTCACACTACTAAATAGAACATTTTTCATGACTGTTAGGCGGTTTTGGGTATATTTCATTGTAGGTGGGCGGACAATGGAAAGGTGTATGTGCCATAGCAAAAGGAATTAGAAGGTTGTCTAGGGTGAGCATAACCAGTAGCACAACCAAGCCCATTTCATTCACTATATGTATCACAAAAGCCATTAAGAAAATAGATGTCAGACAAAATGATCATTTCTTTTCGAAAATGAAAGAACACATGTTGTAAATCCATTGAGGAGAAGGGATTTGAGCTAGCCAATGAGCAATAGCATGAAACGGGGGAGCTAGCAAATGAACAACAATAGCGAGCCAATGAACAACGGCAACGATGAGGTTTTCCATAAAACCAAATTCGGGTTGAAAAATAGCAAAATGGGGAGTGCATTGGTGGAGGTATTCATTATCGAGAGCAATTCTTGGTTGTTCGTATCTTATCCCATAGTGAAATTGAGTATTTCAATACCAAGAAACATCTTATGGAGAGATATGTGGTCAGACTTCAAGCACTCAATTGCAAAAGTGATGAGTGTATAATCATTACCAACAAGTGCGCCTTTCTTCATATATTTATAAAAGGCGTCTATACATTCAACCCCCATCTTATACCTTAGGTGGTAATGTTTTGCTAGTGAGGCTCGGAATAAAGTGGATAACAATCAGTTTGTGATGATGCAAGCAACAACCTTGACAAGCCACTACTAACTGAACGCCAAAAATTTGCCCCTAATGGTGCATGCACAAGGGGGCATATGCCCTTAGGGGCAAAAACAACATTCACGCTATTAAATAGAACATTTTCATGGTCGTTAGGCGGTTTTGGGTATATTCCATTGTAGATATTGCGGACGATGGAAAGGTGTATACGCGCCATAGCAAAAGGAATTTGAAGGTTGCCTAGGGTGAGCATAATAGCACAACCAAGATTATAATCATTCATTATATGCATCGCAAAAGCCATAAAGAAAAGGAATGTCAGACAAACTGATCGTTCCTTTTGGAAAATGAAAGAACACAGGTTGTAGCCAAATTTACCATGGTAAAAATGTAGCCAAAATTCCTATATGTCCATCTCATAGTAAAAATGTAGCCAAATTTTATATGACCATCTCATGGTAAAATTTTAGGATGTCTAAGTTATGATTACTTAGGGCTAGGGTTAAATTCAGAGCTCAGCGCCGAGCTCTGGCCATGTCAACGCCACATCGCCAGCCACGCCAACCTAACCTCCAACCTCGGTGCTATGACCTATGGCGCCAAGGTCCAAAGATGAGTTTTTGACGTCCAGGGGTATAAATGTGAAATTTTTACGGCTAAATTGTTGTTAATCGAGCAAAAACCCTCTCTTTGGATGTATAAAAAAGATAAATCTTTTTAAAGCCCACATTACCCTGCCACTGACAACATACATGCATGGTATCAAAGAAAAGAATCTCAGTGAATGACGCCGTTCCGTTCGGTTAACGTGTGCTTTTTTTATTATTTTTAGAGTATAATATTTTCACAATCAGAAGCAAGTAAGAACGATCAGCTAGTACTAGCTAGTGGTAGTATAGTCAACCATTTGGACACTTAATTTCACCCCATGAGATTAGCCTCGAGCGCAGCATTGGTTAATGCAAAATACTACTCCATGAGCAAGTAATAACAAGGTATGGTAACGTGCAACAAGCGCCAGCAGCTTCTTCGAAAGGAAGAAAGCCAGCAACTAGCTAGTCAGCTACAAAGAGCAGAGAGCAGCGGCGACGGCGGCGCCGGCGGCAGGAAGTTCCGATGCGCGGCAGTGAGGTGAAGCCGGGGAAGAGCCAAAAGAGCTCGGCGCAGAGGCACATCAACGCCGGCTTCGTCGTCGCCGGTCTCCTCATGCTCCTCACCTACCTCGTCGCTCAGCATTTCGTGGTCGGCGCCCCCCATGGTAATCATATATGAATCCTTCGTTTCACCTCACCATGGTTCTATTTTGTTTTTTTGCAGAAGTTATTTCTCTCCCAAGTTGATGAACTCAGCCACAATGAGTGGCTTTCTGAGATTTTGAAGTTTTGAGATATATACGGCCTGACGAGGATATGTCTTGTTTTTTTGCAGTTGTCCTTACGGAAGCACAACTTAACATGGATAATGTAAAAGCGCCCGATGAAACAGGTAATCACTCCTGCTGTTGTTATCATATTTGCTTGCTCATTTCTTTCAGATGGAGCATCCAAAGCTCATCGTGACAAGGGAAAAACAAAACGAACATGGTATAGTTTCGAAGTCAACACATCGGGAACAGTGGATACTGTCTCCGGTGTAACAATATACTTGAATGATCATCTGACCTTTGATCGTGGCTAATAAACCTATGGTCCATTTATTAGTACTTGTCAGTTGTCACTGGCTCACTGCTGTGTCTAGAGATTGGCCCAAGATATGGGAATAGTTGCATGATCGTAGAGTGCATTTCTCATCCTAAAGGCTACTCTCTCTCTCTCTGCTCGGAATTATAAGTCGTTCGGGCTTTTCTAGATAATAACTTTTATTGTCTAAAACAACAGAATGACTTATAATTTGGAGTAAGGGGTACTTATGAGATGAGAGGATTTCCGACATCTTTTAAGATCTGAGACATGACCCTTATGAGGATATATCTTTATTCTTGCTTAATTTGCAGTGGTCATTACAGAGGCACAAAAAATCATGGATAATATCAAAGCTCCCGGTGAAACAGGTGAGCACTCATGTCGTTGTGATTATATTTGTTTTTCTTACTAGTCCATCAAATTATTTTTTAGCATTGACAGGGGTGGTAATTTAGATGGAGATTTTAAGGTGCTGCTTATACTATCCGTCATAATGGCAGAGTGGATAAGTTCTATATAAATTTAGGAGCTCCATTAGATTACTTCTCATGATATCACCATTTATAGATGTAAATTAGCGAGTTATTTTAGATTATGTTTCATAATCACATTTGTGGGTAACTTACATATACCAATTAGGGGTTAATTTATGTTGTTTTTTTAATAATGATAGAGGAGTGTAACTTTTAGAAAACCTAATGACATGTTTGGTGCACTTCTCGTCTTCTCCACACTGCTCAAGCTCTAGCTCCTAGCTCCTCGCTTCTAACCGCTCCAGCTTCTTGAATAAAGCATTTGGTGGTGCTTCAAGCGACGCCAACACTCATGGCATGGTTGGGTGAGTGCTTTGTGGATGAGTAGATCAACCACCCACAAATCAAGCTCGTCTCCCCTCAAATCGAGCTTGGTCGCTTGCGAATCAAGCTCCTACTCCCTCAAATCGAGCTAGGCCACCCGGGAATCAAACTCGACCTCCTTGAATCATGATCGGCTACCCACGAATCCAAGTCTAGCCCCTCACGTATCGAACTCCTCCTCGTGTCGAGCCTAGCTACCTGCATATCAAGGTCCTCCTGCTCCTTGAAACGAGCTCCTCCCTAGGCTATGGCGTCCCTCACACGCAATGGACTTGCCCTCCGTTATGCCTTCCTTCGTCGCTCATCATAGAGAAGGGCGGACCTTGGCACATGGAGAGAGGTGAAGAGGAGTGATGGCTGCCTCTTGACCTAGCATGGCAGGGGAGGAGAGACGGTGAAAGTGATGGTGTGGCAGGTGAGGGGCAACGACGGAGAGGATGGAAGCTAGAACAAATCAAGGGAGCGGGATTTCTCCACTCCCCACATGTAGTGTAAAATGATTGGATACGAATACGATGGAGCGCATCTCGTGAGGGGTAGTAGGAGAAATTGTTGTTTGGCTGGCTTCTCGCGTGGAGTGGAGGATATATAGCATGTGCTACCAAACAGACTCTAGATCTAATGACTATTGCTATCGATGTTAATTAGAGTATGTTGAATTGATGTTCAGGTCTTTATAATTTTAAGATTTATATGCATCTCGTAAGGATAAGATAAACCTTTTATTGGATCTTGCAATTAGTAATATAGCAAAATTTCTCTCAGTTGGAGTATCTAAACCTCATCGTTAAAAGGTAAAAAGAAAATGGTTATAATATCTAAAGCTCATCGTAAAGAAAATGATTGGAGTATAGGATCGAAGTCAACACATGGGAAACAGTGAATACTGTCTCCGATGTAATATTATATTTGATTCATCTGATCTTTGATCTTGTCCAATAAATAAATAAATAAACAACTAATTTTTTATGTGATAAAGTATTTAGTTTGAGGCAATTTTGCTGGCCGGTTAGCATGAACGAAGAAGGTATGGGCAAGTCGTGTCGATGAATGAAGTTGAAAAACCATGGTGTGAAATCTTTTACTTTCCTTGGCGTACGTGCAACAGAGAATGGCAAGGTGGTGTGTAACATGGAGGGCCGCTCGGACACCTGCGAAGTCGACGGCGACGTCCGCACCAACGGCACGGCCCTGTCGGTGACACTCGTGCCGGCGAGCCGGTCGGAGCGCCGCGAGTGGATGATCCGGCCGTACTCGCGCAGGTTCGCCAGCCTCAGGAAGGTGACCGTGACGCAGCTGGAGGCCCGGGCCGCCGCGGCGCCGTGCACGGTGACCCACGACATGCCGGCGGTCCTGTTCGCGATCGGCGGGTACGCGGGCAACTACTGGCACGACTACGCCGACATCCTGGTGCCGCTGTTCGTGGCGTCGCGGCGGTACAACGGCGAGGTCAAGTTCCTGATCAGCAACATCCAGTTCCAGCCCCGGTGGCTGGTCAAGTACAGCGCGTTCCTTAGGGGGCTGTCCAGGCACGACGCGGTGGACATGGACGGCGACGCGCAGGTGCGGTGCTTCCCGCACGTCACGGTGGGGCTCCGCCTGGACGAGGAGTTCAGCATCGTCCCCGAGCTGGTGCCGGGAGACCGCCGCCTCACCATGGCGGACTTCACCCGGTTCCTGCGCGAGACCTACGCGCTCCCGCGCGGCGCGGTGGCGTCCCGGGAGCAGCCGACGCCGAACAAGAAGCCGCGGCTGCTGCTGATCCACCGGGGCCACTACCGCCGGATCACGAACGAGGCGGAGGTGGCGCGGGCGGCGGAGGCCGCGGGGTTCGAGGCGGTGGTGGCGGAGCTGGGCGGCGGCGACGCGGGGGAGGCGGAGCAGGCGCGGGTGGTGAACTCGTTCGACGTGGTGCTGGGCGTGCACGGCGCCGGGCTGACGAACGCGGTGTTCCTGCCGCCTGGCGGGGTGCTCATCCAGGTGGTGCCGTACGGGAAGATGGAGCACATCGCGCGGGCGGAGTTCAGCGAGCCCGCCACGGACATGGGGCTCAAGTACCTGGACTACAGCGTGAGCGCGGAGGAGAGCTCGCTGATGGAGACGCTGGGGCCGGAGCACCCGGCGGTGAAGGACCCGGACTCCGTCCACCGCAGCGGCTGGGGCCAGGTCTTCGAGCTCTACCTCGCCAAGCAGAACGTCCACATAAACGTCACCCGCTTCGCGCCGACGCTGGCGCAGGCGCTCGACCACCTACGCCAGCAGTAGGGGGGCAGGGACGGATACGCCAACACCATTGCCATTTTTCTTTTCTTTTTTTGCATATGCTGTAGTACGACAACCATTTCAGTGGTACACTGGTACAGTACAATCGCTCACTTGTTCAAGCATTTCCGATTCGTCTTAGAGTGATGCGTTCTTTTCTAAATGTCTGCACTAGTCTTGACGACGGAGCATAAAAATGCATTTTTGGTCTATTGGTTTGATAGAGCAACAGCCCAGCAGAGTTAAAGGTTGTATGATCTGATGATTCTGATTATTTTCCTTTAATGTTTGTGTCAATATTGGTTACTTGGCTTCGCTGCTGGTTGTTCTCTCTACCTGCACCATAAGCAGGAGCACCGAGCAGTCGAGCACCCATGCCTAACCGCCCTCAAAGGTCAAAGCTACTTCCACGGCCATGCATCCGTCCGCGCGGTGACTGGAGACAACAGATGAATGTATTTCGTCGCTACCTACTCTTCCGGCTCGCCGGACCGGAGCTCGCGTCTCGTCGACGTCGCATCGCCCATTGGTGTCCAAGTGTTGTAGGAGTACTACAGTACTGATGATCCAGAAGGCTACCCCGGCCATGATTGCATCGTGATTGTCGCCCCGCCGGTTCAATAAGGGATTAAGGGCTAGCTGCACTACTGTACTACTGATCCAGACAGAGGGGGTGGAGTGGAGCTCGATGGTGAGGTGACGGTCGAACCGAGCCACCGAAATAACCGGCCAGATCGAACTGTAGCAGAGCAGCCGCCGCCCAAAAATCAAATGAAAGAAACTGAATTGAAACGAGAGTTCGGTCTCCTTTCCAATCCAACAAACTTACGTGTGCTTCGTTGGATGTCAACGCGTTTAAAAAAAATCAAAATTAGGCTGCCTAATGTTTACCAATGCAATCGACCCCCCTTTTTTTTTGCCAATTGTCATTTTCATTGTGATTTCTACTGAGTCTGTGAGTGTGATCTGAATAAAAGGTGTGTTCAATTCCCTCCGGTATAGTATATATATAAGGGAGAATTAGTACGTAGTATAGAAAGATCGCCATCTCTGTAAAATACCATCAAAAGTTTATGCCCCCCGTAAAATATCACTGAAAGGTTACACAGTGAACTAGAAGTAGCATTCCATCATCTTTGTGTATAGAAAAGTCAAAATGACCTTAAACCTAAAATTGAAATTACCTATTTGCCATTACCTTATCCTTTCTCACTTATCCGAGACCGAGACAGGAAGCACGCGCGTGGTGCTCTCGGTTCCGCACTCGGGTCTGCCGCTCGCGCCCCTGACACTGCCTCGGCCGGTCGTCGCGGGTGTCAGCGCGCGGCCACCGTGGGCGTCTCGCGCTACCTCCGCCGGCCGCCACGTGGGCCTGGGCACCGCCTCCACCAGCCACCACGGGCGTCTGCGCACTGCGCGGCGCCTCCGCCAGGCCGCTGGCCTCCCCTACGCACCGCCTCCGCATGGACCTGCGCGCTGCCTCCACTAGATTGGGTGCTGCCCCGTGACTCACAACTCACAAGTCACAACTATGCATACAGCAAGGCCGAGATATTACTTCAGTTTCATCAGAGGAATGGAGCAAAACGTGCAGCAATGCAGCGCCGAGCCATTCTAAGGTTGTACTGTAACAAACTAACAACAATGCAGCAATGCAAAACAAGGTAACGATAGCTATTACGCATGTACGTGTAACAAACGGTCACGATCAGGTGGGGGCAGGGCGTGGCCATACCACTCGTTGGCGCGGCAAGCGCGACGTCGACGGCGGCCATGGCGGCGAGCGTCGCGAGCACCACCACGCGCACCTTGCCCCAAAAGCCGGCGCGGCGCAGATGCAAGCACTGGGCGGCGGCGGTGGCCGCCGAGGGTGCTAGCTCCAAGGCCACGACCTCAGCAAGTGCGGCAGCAGACGCTTCGACCGGTGGGCTCGCCACGGAGCTCGGTTAGCGCGTGGCTGATCTCCTTCGGGAGCGCCGCGGCGGCCTCAGTGCTGTTCACCTTGGCCAGGCACCCCAGGCGTGCGTCCTCCTCCGGCGTCCACGCGCGAGGAAGCCTCAGGTGAACCACGATGCCCGCCGCGGACCAGCTCGGTTGCTGCTTTCACGCCGGCACCGACGATGCATGGGTGAGCTCCGGCCCGGCCACGCCCAAGCCATGGCAAACGTCGCGCACGCGATCACTGGTTGGAGGGTATTTTTGACCGAGATAACAGCTCCGTTCCTTCATTTTAACAGAATGCTACTTTCAGTTTATGTCCAACCTTTCGGTGGTATTTTACGGGGACACAAACTTTTGGTGGTATTTTACGGAGATCGCGATCTTTCAATGCTACGCAACCAATTTTCCCTATATATAAATACCAAGTTAGCAACGCGAGACGTGATGACGCATCGTTTGCGGCGCTGCAAGCAAACCTGCCATTACAGCCCTGTTCGCGTGCCCTTAAACCCGGTTTGATCCGCTTCTTTTTTCATCCGGAACAGTATTTTCCTCTCACAAATTTCTCCAGATTCCTCAAGATTTCTCCAAGCGAACGGGATTACGTGGTTGGTCTTAGGTAGTTGGGTGTTTGGCACCACCTGTCGTTTTTGTTTGGAAACATTGCACCGCCTGTACGTCCTAGCTATTAGTGATGACGATGATGTTCAAAATGACAGGATTAGCCAATGCTGCTAGATTCCGAACTACAACTGATTAAAGAACTATACTAGTAGAGTAGTAGTTCACCCCTGTGTATGATCAGGAACCATCCTGTATACGGAGTAGTAGACTAGTCGTTCATCCCTGTCTGTGGTCAGCAACCAGCCTATACGTGCATGCATGACGAAGCTTTTCTTCTTAGTCACGGTTAGGTGCTCCACCGCGGCTCAGATCTACTCCGGATCGTTACATCAACTCTTGCCAATTAATCTCGATCTAGGATTTAACCACATACTGTTATTACTACCCTCTTCGTTCTAAATCATAAGATATTTTTTAATTTTTTAATATATTGTTTTTACTATGCTAAACATATATAATGTATTCTAAGTGCATATATTGTAAAAAAAATTATATATATCTATAAAGATTAAAATGTCTTATAATTTAAAATAGAGATAGTAGTAGCTAAAAAATTACAAGGTTGAAATAATGGTAGTGATAGACCACGTGCTTGAATTCACCTAGCTAACAGTAGTTAAAAAACTTGACGGGAAGGAGCAGACCGCACCACCGTTTTTTAATTAAGAGGATGCAAGGTTCGAACTTGGGTCTCCGGACTGAGAGCGAGCTCCAATAACCAATCACCCACGAGAGCACTTGCTTACTAGCTAGTAGTAGTTACAAAAATGATCTAAACAGATCTGCCTAATAGCTTAGCCAAGTGTTAGCTGGACACATAGCTAACAACTACCTCTCTCGCTATCTCAACCCAGATAATAGCAGCTAATAGATTGTAAAAAGCTAACTTTTGCCCTCCCACCTATTGGCCTACCTTTGTCAAAAGAAAGGGCATTATAGACAAAACCACATGTGCATCCAACTTTACCCGTTGGATTTGAACTTAACAACACCCAACTAAATATTAGCCAGCTAAAATTACCTCTAAACTATAAACCCTCTACTATTAGCTGCTCGTGAATCCAAACAAGGTCTTATTATAGCTTATTTGGATATCTAAGCTAGCCATTAGCTGCTAAACATTAGCTAAGATCTTGTTTGGATTCTCGACTAATAGTTTGGCTATTGTCTTAATTACTACCACCTAGCAAATTAGCTATTAGCTGGTTTAATTTCCTCTTCAACTAATCTCCAACGTCACAGGAATCGGAAGTCAACGGTGATTCGGCACTTGTGATGATGTATAATACAGTTGTGGAAATCAGGTAGGTCCACATGGGCTCCGTTCGCGTGCCCTTAAATTCGGCTTGATCCGCTTCTTTTTTCATCCGGAATAGTGTTTTTCTCTCACAAATTCCTCCAGCATTCCTCCAAACCATCCAAATTCCTCCAGAATTCCTACAAGCGAACAGGCCCATGCTCTGCGGATGGACGACCGAAGAGGTTTGTTTGTGCAGAGTTTGTACTCGTATGGTAGTATATATATGCCCTGTTCGGTTGGCTTATAAGCCGTATTTTTTCAGCCAACGAATAATATTTTTCTCTCATAACAAATCAGTCAACAGTACTTTCAGCCATGGCTTATCAGCCAAACGAACAGGACGATAATATAATTTCTGATCAGAGTTGACAAATCCTTAATTTTGGGTCAAACATTGTCGTAGGAGTACGTATTAACTGCATTCTGCTACTCCTATAATTAACTGATCTATCAGAGGATCGTATGGCCATGCATTTAGCACGATAAGCATAAAAGGCAGGAAGATATATTAGGAGATTTTAGAGCTAGCTTTTTTTAATTGATAGTTGTTCCATGTACGTGCCGACCACTCAGTTCCCAACTGCCCATGATCATGATGCATGTAGAATGGCACTACTACTAGTACACTTGAAGCGTCCTCCAATTCCAAACCATGCATTCTGGCCATCTGTGTGACGAATTAATCTCCACTCCTTTAATAATAACAGAAAAGTTAGATCCAAGAACCAGAAAAGGAGGTTGCAAAAAGGCAGGCGGACCATTATGATCACGACTTACTGGAAGCTCCACTCAATCATGCATGGCATGGACGACAGCTCCACTCAAAATCCTCACTTTCTCTTCAAAATGAAAACTACTGATCCGTACGTACTCCATTTGTCAGATAAAATTATCGGATGAAATAAACTATATATTACATGCCTTTTATTGCACTCCTAGACTTAGGACTTGTTTGGACGTTCATGTGTTTCTCAATCCACGTGAGTTGAAGTTGATTGGAATGAAAATTACACTAAAGCCTTGTTTAGTTTCTCCTCAAAACTTTATATCCTATCACATCGAATATTTGGACATATACATGGAGTATTAAATATAGACTAAAAAATAACTAATTGCACAGATTGCGACTACTTTGCGA